GGTTTTGAGTAATGAACAAGGCTGGGAGTTTTTAAAAGCCTCAGGAATCTTTTGCAGATGTTTAGAGTTACGTCGTTGATTCAGATGGTTAGGTTAATAGCTTGTTTAGAGAACCTTTTCATGATATGTAAATTTTTTGAGACAGGCATTTTGGGTTTTCATGAGCTGTATGCCATAATCATCAGTATTAAAACAATTAAAGACCTGAAATATTTCAGTTGGTGTGCAATGAATCTGAAATATATGAAAGTTTCATTTTTATCATTACATTATGGAAAATAATGACCTTTGTCACAATATGCTAATTTTTTGAGAAGGACCTGTATAAATATAAAATCGATACTTAGCAGATTTTCACCTATCACGTGGGTCTCTGGAACGTAACCCCCGCGACGACAGGTGAGGGATCATTGTGATATCAGTTTGGATAATTTTCTTTCTGCTCAATGAAAATGATATCATACAATTGTCAGAACCGTTTTATGCCTTTTTTTTTCTTTAAAGTACCGTTCTCAGTATCCAATCATTTGGAGTTAGACAACATGTTGACTATTAGAGCAACTTTTTGCATTTAACTTTGACTGTTCCACAACAGGAAAGCGTTTCACAGCACTGAAGCTGACATCATACCCCTTCTGTTTTTTTGATTTTTACTTTTCTGTGGACAAATGATTACTCACAGTGTTCTTGAGGCCTCTGCCACCTGCCAGCTTTTTCATCGAGCAAGATGTTGCCTCCTACATAACAAACGCTTTGAGATATCGTGTTCCGTTACATTCAGTGAACACCTTGAAAATTTCTGCTTGTGAATAGTTTGATTCTGTCCAGGCAAAGTTCATACACTTCATCTCTTAGTCGACATAAATTAGTCTTTTTTAAAGTTTATAAAACTCAGCATGGTCCATATGTGTATACTGCCTTTTAATCTTTCCTAGTTTTTCCTTGACAAATTAACATCCAAATAACTACAGTGTAGTGAGTAAACTTTATTAGTATAAGATTTATATGTATACACTCCTAAATAGGTAGAACTTCTGTGTCCATTAAATGTTGTGAGTTTTAATTAATTCAGTTTTCTCTCCCACTGAAGTTGCAACTGAAAACATGCAGATTCATTTTTTACAGAAGCCCAAGATTCTCAAAAAGAAATCCACTGGGTATGTTGTGAAATTTTAATGAAACAAGTCAATTATAAGCCAGTCACATGGACCGCTACAGATATTTTCATGTTTTAACATCTGCCAGCACTGCCAGCATCCAGCAAAGACATAAATAAGGAAATATAAATTATTTGAAGCTGAGATGCTATTTCCCTCTTCCTTCCTCGGTTTGTTTTGTATTTTGTACATTTACCACACTTTCTTTGCACCTCTCTGCACAGTACTGGGTGAAGGGGGGGGGGGGGTGGCAATGCTTGCAAATTACTTGCTGTCTTTTAGTTTATTATTCAAATTCTGTTCTCTTTTTTTTGTAATATTGTGTCTTTTGTTTTTCCCTTTCAGGCTGAGTACTTCAGCTGTGTGGCAACAGTGGTGTACATGCGTAAGGAAAATTGTCTGTATCAGGCATGTCCATCTTCAGGCTGCAACAAGAAGGTCATAGACCAACAGAACGGCATGTACCGCTGTGAAAAGTGTAACAAGGAGTTCCCTAACTTCTGTTACAGACTCTTGCTTTCTGTGAGTTCAACACACAAAAAGTACCATGAACATCAGACATTTAGTGATTTTTGCAGTGATCACGCACACAGGTTTGTCTTGCTATCTTTATATGGACTTTGCATTGATTTCCATTCATTTTTCGTTCATTTCTATAGCCTAACCCTGACCCTAAACCTAACCATCATCAGTGTACACCTAACCCTAAACTTAACCCATCCTCAATTCACAACTTAGTCCTAAAGCTAACCATTACCAGTACATACCTAACCCTAAACCCTAACCCACCAGCGACACTCGAACCTTATGAGGACCGACCGGGCTTTGATCCTCACCAAGAGCAGTGGTCCTTACAAAGTAACATAAACAAGCACACACATACATGCACACACACATGCACGCATGCGTACGTTCTTGTAAACATACTTTTTGGAGACTTTGCATTGACTTCCATTCATTTTCTATAATCTAACCCTGACCCTTACCCAAACCTAACCATTACTAGTACATGCCTAACCCTAACCCATCCGCAATTCACATCTTTGTCCTAAACCTAACCCCTGACCTCCCAACGAGACTTATCCTTATGGGGACCTGGCTTTGGTCCCCATAAAGAGCAGTTGGTTGCCACATTGCATGATTTTTTTGTAAAATTGTTCTCTACAAGGTAACCTGGAAAAAAAAATGCAGAGTCAGATATACAGAAATAATCTCTTGCCTCTTTCTTTTCCCTGGCTGTCTTAACTCTCAGGCCAACTTGGCAGACATCTGGGATAACCAGTGGGTGACATGTTTCCAGGAGACAGCTGAGGTCCTGCTGGGTCACAGTGCTGAAGAGCTGGGACAACTCCGAGAAACAGTGAGACTCGCACACAAAAAAAGCCTCCACATACAGTTCTCCTCACTGTTTTACCAGAAGGTCTAGGATCAGTGCTTCCTTTGAAAGTGAGTGTTTACCTGGTATTATGTGTGTTTGTGTGTGTTTCCAAGGATGAGGCAGCATTCAATGAAGTCTTCCATAAAACCAACTTCACAACTCATATCTTTAAAAACCGAGTCAAACTGGAGACATATAATGTAAGTAGCAATAAACCCAATAGAATTTCATATAATTAAATAAAATATGTTCCAAGATATCTAGTACCAATTTAATATTTCCGTATTTGAAATTATTATAATTTGTTTATTTCTTTGATAATTATCATACTTTTTTTTTTTGTTGTAATTTATTGTAAAAAAAAAGTGTTAGTATTTAGTAATTTTTGTTGCATTAGTTTGATTGATTACAAAGAATTGGTAAAGACTGTGGGGACCCATAAGTAGGTGAACAGGTGTAGTACCAGCATGCAATGGGGTGGGCCTATGGGTTCTTTTACCAGAGCAGAGAAGAAGGAGCAGGAAGCACAATTATTTGATGATTAAAACAACCATCAAAGGAAATAATCTTGGTTTGGACATTGGGCTTCTTGTTTGCCTGCACTGAAAAAAAAACCCTGATGCAGCAGAGGCCTTGAAGTGGTTTGAGTTTGAAAGAAATTGCCACTACAATCTCAAAAAGCAGAATCAAATGATGCACAATAGTGCTCATCCCTGCCGTACAGGCATATTTTTAACGACACTGCACCTTTAGCCTTTTGTTTGTGCAACAAATGCAAGTCAGTCACAAATGGCAGCCTTTATTCTGGTTTGAACAAAGTATTTTAATCTTTTTTTCTTATACACCGACAATTCTTCTAGAATTGTGCCGCTCAAGGTGGCTGCATGTTGGAGCAGCTCTGTTACTTTCATTCTGAGATTTTGCTTTTGGAAACTTTAATTCCTCTTTTCTGGATGTGGATCACGTTTTTTGGATGTCTGTTTCCTCTGGTATCAGATGCTGTGCAGCTGGAAGGATTTTTACTGAAACTTTTTTAGTTTTGGACATTTGTTATGATGCGTAACAATGCAACAAGGCAGTTTTCTACCACCAACAGCAGCTGATTAACACCTCAAAAGCTCAAATAATATCTCAACTACAGCCCCAAATCTCAAATGAGTTGAGAAGGATGTTCTGTGGATGCATTCTCATCTGCCTGCCAGCTGTGCTCGAGTGCCTGACCACTCAGATCCTGGAACTGGTGGGAGACACGGCTCGTGACAGCAGAAGGACAGGATCGTCCCTCAGCACCTACAGGGTGCAATGATGCCCCAAATCCCACGTGAGTTGAAAAGGAGGTGCCGTGGACAAATTCCCGTCAACCTGGCGGCGGTGCTCGAGACCTCACCACCGAGATCCTGGAGCTGGTGAGAAACTCGGCTCGTGTGGAGCTCTGCAGACTGCTAGGAGGAGTGACCATCACTCAGGGAGGAATTCTGTCCGGCATTCGGGCAATCCTGCTGCCCAGGAGGACCGAGAGGCCCGCCGGATCTGACAGCAATATGGATCTGGGTGGACGGATTGGTATCCTTGGCCAGATTCTTCAGCTTCACTGCAGGAGATCCTTCCTGCCCACAGCTATCAGCATCTATAACAGCTCTTGAATGAAACCAGGATGATGAGCTATGACAACACTTAATTTCCCTCTGGGATTAATAAAGTATTTTTGAATTGAATTGAATTGAATTGAATACTTTTCAAAAAATAGGTTTTCAATATTACCAGGATTGAAGACATGTCGTGTTGTTCTAATGAATTTCAATTTCGCAATCGTTAAAAAAATCACAAAGAATATAAATCTACAATGTGTACATCTGAAATGTTTTTGTCTTAACAAGCAATTTGATGTGCCATAGACCATATTACAGTTACTACAAAAAAAATTAAAAATTGATGTGGTGGTGGCACAGAGGTTAGAGAAGATGGGCCTGTGATCAGAAGGTCACTGGTTTGACGCCCGGACCGACAACATGAAAATGTGGGTGGGAAAGGTGAATCACCCACACCTGCCTCCACCCTCATTTCTCCCACTCTGGGCCCTTGAGCAAGGCCCTTAAGCCCCACCATCTGCTTCTCCGGGTGCCCTAGATAGCAGCTCTCTGCTCCACACAGAGGACTGTGGTAGCTCGGTGGTCTGTGGTTGTGTCAGGAAGGACATCTGGCTTAAAAACAATTGCCAAGTCTTTGTGTGAGTTACGTTTGCTGTGCCGACCCCTGAAGAAGGGAGCAGCCGAAAGAAAAAAGAAAAACACCTTACCAGCTGCTAAGAAAATTACAGCTATTTAAAAAAAAAAAATCTAGATATCTAAGAAAATTGGCTAAAAAACAATGTGAAACGCATTCCCTAGTTTTGAATGCATGACACGTGTTAATCTAGTTATTAAGCCAACCATGACATTGTAAAGCAAAAGTCTTTGTCCATTATCTTCCCCTGTGCTGCACTCCCAAAATTACAAAACTTAACATTATTTACAACTGTAGCATATTTACAACACATTCAGTCGCATCAGCCAAGTTGCTGTAGATGTTTTGTAGTCGGTACACTTTGGATAGCAGAAAATAAATACAGCTGTGGATTCATTTCTCTTAATTAGGCCCTAATTAACATTTAGCAATTGTCTGTCTTAGCCTAATTAGCTTAATTATTCAGAGGCTGGTTTGCTGCAGAGGGCACATACAGAGAGTCTGAGAGGAATGATTGAGATATACAGTGTAGTTTGAGCGGTCTCTAAACGTTCTGTGTTCTGACCTTAAGAAAACCTCAGAGCAACACAGTGCAGAGTTTTTCACCCGTTCTTCACTCTGAAAACTAATGTTGAGCAATTTTAGGAATGATGTACGCAAAGTCATGGACAAGTGCTACCATTAAAAGCTATATAGAACATCAATTTCCTTTAACTGATGTAATTTAACTTGCAGTGATGTTTAATGTCTCTCATACAAACCTGAGTGAACCAGAAATTCTTCAGTAAATGTCAGCACATTACTGGTACTTTGGATTCATTTCTGTGATGTTTTGACCATGATAGCTTTGTTAAAAGTTTACGTCTTGTCCATTTTTCTTGAATCCTTTATGATGATTAGACATTTTCTCACAAAAACTTGTTTATATGGCTAAAAAACAGCCGTTTTATTTTGACACTACATACCTTTACATGTTTATACACAGCTTTATGCTCTATTCAGACTTATGTTTTGTATAGTCATGTCAGCATTGCAGAAGTAGCATACCAACGGCACAGTTTTACTGAACGGTGCATTCAGTTTGTTTTCTTTGTAGGATGCTTCATATAATTCAGTGGTCCTCAGTCCTACTATATAGGGTCCACTGTCCAGCTTGTTTTAGATATTGTCTTGCTTCAGTGCATATAAATCAAATGACAGAATAACCTCAGCATGTTTTCAAGGTCAGCAAATGCCTGTTAATAACTCATATGAAGTGTTTTGTAGCAGGAAATCCTCTAAAACACGAATTCTGAAAATCAGACTGGGAAACACACATTTGCCTAAAAAATAGTTTACTTTGTTCAGTAAGTTTAGGAGCAAATAGTAAATTGAGGTAATGTAATAAACGTGTACGCTGTGTTGAATTGTGCTGTACCAATCATGTCATTAGAACAAACATCCTTGCATACGTAACCACACATTGTTACGATTTTGTAACTATTTCAAGAATTTTTACTCCCAATTTTTTTAAACTGACTTTAGGAAACAAAGGCTTATTGTTGCCTTAGTGTGAAAAGAACATGAAATTACAGACTTCTACTAGTGTCCTCTATATCCTTTATTTCCATGCCACTGATGTCATCCACAGCGGTTGTTGTCATGTTTGGCTCATCACTGCAAACATAGGATACACAGGTTGGCTTGACCGACTCAGTGCAGTGTGAATGTGAACCACACCAGCTGAAAATGTAAACAAATGTTCCAAACTTTGGTCCCCAATCAAACCGAATCTACCGGATTATCAGGCTTGAAAACGACCTTTAGATTCTCATGCAGGTTAGACTGAAACTACTCGCCCCTCACAACAGAGGATCATTGGGCTCTTTGTTTGCCTGACTCACAGAGATGTTTGATCACAAGCTTGAAGGTGAGAATTGGAGTGGAGCTGATTGGGAATCAGGCCTAATGCTGCACTGTAAGTTTCTGAAAGTTGAAAACTGAGGCCACCTCCTCTGTTTAAAGTTGTTTTTTCTCGTTTGACGTAAATGGCTTCCTCCACACCCTCTCAAACCTTCGGTCTTCTCTGTCCCAAATATGAACATTTTGTCCTCAAAAGATTGTCTCTTATCCTTAAGATATAGGTGGATCGCTGAGTCTTGTCCTGAAGAGCTGCTCTCCTGTGTTGAGCCATGCGTCTGTGGAGAGGTTTTTTAGTTTCTCCAATATAGAGGTCTGAACATTCCTCACTGCACTGACCTGCACACACCACACCGCTCACGACCTCCAAACCCAAACTGAGCTCCAGGTGCAGGTGGTGAACATGCAAGTGACCAAAACATCTCTCTCGGGAGCCAGACAAACACAGCCCAATGAACCCCATTGTGCTGAGCGAATAGTTCCAGTCTAACCTGCATGTGATGTAAATAACCAGGCCCCTCATGCAGCTGTGTAAAGCTTGGAACTCCACACACTCCAGACATTTTTGAATTGATAAAGCCTCCTGGATGGGAAGTGAATCATCTTCAGCTTCAGAATAGAAGTCCAGTTGTTGTTGTTTTTGTTAACCTTTTTTGGATTGGTCATGACCAGTATAGTCTTTTCAGTAAACCTGTCATGTAGTTTCAGTTTTCATGAGAAGATAAACCTGGGGCCTGGTTCTTTCTTTCATCTATTACCAGACTTGTCTCTAGATGAATCAGACTTGATTGCTATTATTCTCAAAGATTGTAAAGAGTGTTTCACCTCTATTTTCAGTGAAGATGCAGATGCAGTGAGTATCAGTTACAGTGATGCTTGAAAGCCTTAAGAATTTTCTATATTTCTGCTTAAATTTGACCTAAAACATCATCAGATTTTCATACTAGTCCTAAAAGCAGATAGAGAACCCAGTTAAACAAATGAGACAAAAATATGATATTTATTTATTGAGGGAAATGATTCAATATGACATATGTGTGAGTGACAAAAGTACTGTTCAAAAAGCACCTTTAATTAA